AGTATCTGTGCGTCCGTGACCTTCTTCACTGTTTACAGACCAATTCCAGGAACAAGTCAGATTTGTATTCTTCTAGCAGATTGTAGCTGATGAATAGACACTCACAAGATTCCTTCATCTTTTGCAGTTCCTTCACACTCATCAAAGCCAATGCTGCTGCGTCCGGGAGCTGAATCGTTTGCATTTCACGGTCCAATTGAGCCAATGTCTGAGTTTCCCCCGGCAGATTGTGGCGGACCTGATTCGAGAGGGAGCGCGGCATGAACAGACTGACCTGTTTCTTTCGAGGTATGGGTTTCGGCAGATGAGGGGCAGAGTTTGACTCAACTGGAGCAGGCTCCTTGTCGATGGGACGAGTGTCGTTTGCCGCCGTTTGCATTGGGACCAATTCATTCACAAGAGCATCCAAGTCGCTAGGCAGAGCCTTCTTTGACTGGCCAAGGGTGTTGAAGTCAAATTCCAGCAACTCCCCAGTCTGCGCGGCCGGGGTTGACGTCATCGGCTGCTCTCCAGTGTGAGACTCAGACAAGGGACTGAAGCCAATGCTATTGTCGTTGCTTGGGACCGGCGAAGCTGCTTTCTTCTTCCCTTTGTTTTTCTTGGGACTAGACTTTTTTTGTGAGGGTGGAGTCTTGGGAGGAGACCCAGTTGGGTGTGGGGTGGATGACTGTAAAGAAGAACCAACAGAGAGTGAGATTCCAATCTGGTTGGTTCACATGAACCATCTGAGCCAGGACCTCCAGATGCTCTGCATTCAAGTCTGAGGGGGAGATATTCCCAAACTCAAATTCGCAGGCCTCCTGGGTGCCTATACCCAGGAAGTTGGTGAGGCCAATGTGCCCAGACAGCTGGAGAGAATGATGATGAGCAACCACTGAATGAGCCAAGAAATCTCATTCAATGATCTGAAAAAAGCAGACTTACATCCACATCCATCTGATCACTAGCCGTCACACGAGTTTCACTACCGTTAGTCCCCGCCGTAGCCGTGTTCTCCTTGTCCGCAACATCCACGTCCAAGTCCATGTCATCTCGAGGGGTGTTTCTTAAGTCGTGGGCCCTCTTCTCCGTAGGACTCATTGGTTTCTTCTTTTGTGGGCTCAGAGGCTCCACGGTGGCCAAACGTGCCGACCTCCTCGGGCTAGGGACTGTGAATCCATCCGTGGTGTTTACAGCTACCATTTTTTTAGTTTTAACTACAGAAACTCAATGACAATGGAGTACAATAGACCTCAGCAAAGTCTCACCCTAACCCTGACCTCCATTCAAAGGGAGGTACTTACTAGAATAAAATATAGTGAAGAGGGGAAATAAAGAGTTGAAGAGGGTTAGGGTTGAGGATATCTGTAGATATTAAATGGCACCCAAAATGAACAGTTAGCCAAAAGCCCAATCTACACCCCACCTCAAGTCCAAGGGAGGTCCCCCCTGAAACATGAGAATGAAAAACAAACCAAAGGAAAAAACAGCCACTTACATATGTAAGATAATTTACTAGAGCACAAAGATAAGACTATTCAAGAGAAGGCAACAGAAATATTTGCGGAGCCTGTGAGAAGCATGCGATAAACAACACAGACAGAATCAGCCAAATCATCCCAAAAAAATTCAAAGAAGGGAACCAGACACCCAACCTTGACCTGGTGGTGTGGGGAGGTACTCACCGGAATAGAGGATTGCAAGTGAAGCAACAGGGGAGCAGGAGGGCTGTTTACAGACAGCAAAACCACCATCAGTAAAATACCCCCAAATTTAAAAAAATAAACCAGAATTTATTAGATGACCTCAAGTTGAAAGGAGGTACTCACTGAGATTGATGTTTCCTGTGGGTGACTCTACAGGGGAGAACACGGGTCTTATATAGACAAGAGATGCCAAGTCAGCTACAATCGAGGCCCAGATTTCACCCTTGACCTAGAGATGAAGGGAGGTACTCACTGAAGCAGACCCTTCCAGGTGAAACAGCAGGGGTGAAAGAGGCCTTTTTATAAGCAAAAGTGGCCTAGTCAGTCACAAATACGGAGATTGATGGTTCCTGTGGGTGACTCTACAGGGGGGAGCAAAGGGGTCTTTATATAGCCAAGGGAGGTCCAGTCAACAACAAATCCTCCAAAATTACACAGAAAAAAAAACAAGAAATTATTACTTGACCTCAAGCTGAGGGGAGGTACTCACGGAGATTGATGGTTCCTGGTGACTCTACGGGAGAGAAAAAGGAGGTCTTTATATAGCCAAGGGAGGTCCAGTCAGCAACAAATCCACCAAAATTACACAGAAAACAAACCAGAATTTTTCACTTGACCCCAAGTTGAAGGGAGGTACTCACTGAGATTGATGGTTCCTGTGGGTGACTCTACAGGGGGGAGCAAAGGGGTCTTTATATAGCCAAGGGAGGTCCAGTCAACAACCAATCCTCCAAAATTACATAGAAACCAAAGCACAAATGACCACTTGACCTCAAGTTGAAGAGAGGTACTCACGGAGATTGATGGTTCCTGTGGGTGACTCGACAGGGGGGAGCAAAGAGGTCTTATAGACAAGAGAAGCCTAGTCAGTGGCAATTGAAAGTCAGATTTGTCCTTGGAACTAGTGGTGAAAGGAAGTACTTACCAAATTTAAGGTTTGGTGATGACAAAACAGGGGCAGGAAGGAGGTCCTTATACACAACAGAGAAAAAGGGAGGTCCAGTCACCGACAAATTCCCCAAAATTACACAGAACACAAACCAGACTTTCTCACTTGACCTCAAGTTGAAGGGAGGCACTCACGGAGATTGATGGTTCCTGTCGGTGACTCTACAGGGGAGAAAAAGGAGGTCTCTATATTCCAAAGGGCAGCCCAGTCAGCAACAAATCCCCCAAAATTACACAGAAACCAAACCAGAATTTATTTTCTGACCTCAAGTTGAAGGGAGGTACTCACTGAGATTGATGTTTCCTGTGGGTGACTCTACAGGGGGGGAGAAGAAGGCTCTTTTATAGGCAAGAGTGGTCAAGTGAGGCCTTTATATAGACAACAAAAACACCACCAGGAAAAAAGCCAAATTTAAAAAAAACCAAACCCGAATTTATTAGTTGACCTCAAGTTGAAAGGAGGTACTCACTGAGATTGGTGGTTCCTGTGGGTGACTCCTCAGGGGACCACAAGGGTCTTTTATAGACAAGAGATGCCAAGTCAGTCACAATTGAGAGCCAGATTTCCCCCCTGACCTGGTAATCAAAGGAGTTACTTACTGAAAAAGAGGTTTACCAGCGAAGAAACCAACTGGGGAGCAGGGGGCCTTTATGCAGACAGTAAAAAATCTACATAAATTCAAAAGAAAACAAACCAGAATTTATTAGTTGACCTCAAATTGAGGGGAGGTAGTCACTAAAATAGAGGCTTGCTGGTGAAGCAGAAGGGGAGAAAGGGCCCTTTATATAGACAACAGAACCACAATCAGTAAAAAATACCCCAAAATTCAAATGAAACCAAACCAGAATTTATCAGTTGAACTCAAGTTGAACGGAGGTACTCACTGAGATTGATGTTTCCTGTGGGTCACGCTACAGGGGAGAACAAGGGTCTTTTATAAACCAGTGAAACCCAGTCAGTGGTGATTGACAGCCAAGTTTGACCCTTGACCTGGTGGTGAAGGGAGGTCCTCACTGAAAAAGCGGTTTGCCGGTGAAGCAACGGAGGAGAAAGGGGCCTTTATATAGACAGCAGACCCTCCATCAATAAAAAGTCCACCAAAATTACCAAGAAGCAAAAACAGAATTTATCAATTGACCTCAAGATGAAGGGAGGTACTCACTCAGATTGATGTTTCCTGTGGGTGGGTTGGGTCTACAGGGGAGCAGCTAGTGAAGCAACACAGGACAAAGAAGCCTTTATAGAAACAGGCCCCAGTCAGCAAAAGTCAAGCAAAATATAACTTAAACCAAACCAGAATTAATTATTCGACCTCAACCTGAAGGGAGGTACTCACCGAAATTATTGTTTGAATGCAATTGACTCTACAAGGGAGAAGGAGGGGATATTATGGAAAAGAGATCCCAAGTCAGTGGCAATTGACACCCTGATTTCACCCTTGACATAGTGATCAAAGGAGTAACTTACTGAACCTGAGGGGAGGTACTCACTGAGATTGATGTTTCCTGAGGGTGACTCCACAGGGGACAACAAGAGTCTTTTATAGACAAGAGATACCAAGTCAGTTATAATTGAGGGCCAGATCTGACCCTTGACCTGGTGATGAATCAGCAAAAAACCACCCAGAATTGGAAACAAACCAATCCAGAATTTATCGGATGAACTCAAGTTCAAGGGAGGTACTCACTGAGATTTATGTTTCCTGTGAGAAGGGTCCTTCATACAAAATAGGTGTCAAGTCAGTTGTAATTGACAGCCAAATTTCAACCTTGACCAAGTGATGAAAGGAGGTACTTACTCAAAAAGAAGTTTCCTGGAGAAGCAACAAGGGACAGAGGGGCCTTTATATAGACAGCAGAACCTCAATCAAAAATCCCACAAAATTCAAAAGACCCCAAACCACAATTCGGTAGCTGACCTCGAGTTCAAGGGACGTACTCACTGAGATTGATGTCTCCTGTTGATGACTATAGAGGGGAGACAAAGGCCTATTATGAACAACCGGTGCCACGTCAGTTACAATTGACACCCAGAATTTGTCCTTGACCTCGTGGCAAAGTGAGGTACTTACTAAAAGAGGGGTTTGAGGGGGAAACAACAGGGGAAAGAAACCTTTATATAACCACAAAATAGCAGCTACACTCAACCAGAATTTCTCACTTGACTCCAAAATGAAGGGAGGTCCTCACTGAGATTGATGGTTCCTGTACGTGGCTCTACAAGGAAGAAGCTAGTAAAGCAACAGAGGCAAAAAAGGCCTTTATTTGACCCGCAGAACCCCAGTCAGCTAAGTCAAACAAAATTCAACTCAAACCAAACCAGAATTGATAACTTGACCCCATACTGAAAGGAGGTACTCACTGAAGTCATAGGTTGAATGCGGGTGGATCTGCAGGGGAGAAAGAGCCGCATTTGATGGACAAGAGATGCCAAGTCAGTGGCAATTTACAACATGATTGTACAGCCAGCAGCAATTCTCACAAAATTAGAATAAAGCCACACCAGAATTTAGCACTTGACCTTCACCTGAGGGGAGGTACTCAATGATACTCCTTCTTCCTGTGGGTGATTGTGTAGGCCAAACAAGCCAAGTCACTAATAATTCACCAATTTAAAAAGGCACCTCATGGTCAAGGGAGGTACTCACCCAAAAGGCTGATCCCTGATGCTGCAACAGGGAGCGTGGACCTTTATGTAGGCAAAAAAGCCACAATGATCAGCAATGCACAAAATTCACAAGAAACCAATCCAGAATTTTCTGCTAAACCTCATGAAGAAAGGAGGCACTAACTGAGGATGGTGTTTTTTGTGCGGGTGACTTTCCCAGGAGGAAAGGAAGGTGATTACTAGCAAAAGAGCTCTTGTCAAACACAATTCACAACCAGATGTTTACCCTTAGCCTCTTGATGAAAGTAGGTCCTCATTGAGAATGGAGCTTTCTGATGAACTCACAGGGATCCAGAAGAGCCTTCATAAAGAAAACAGAAACCACACCAGCAACAATCCCCAAAAATTACCATGAAACAAATCCAGAATATCTTCCTTGGCCTCAATTAGAAAACAGCTACTCACAGGAAAAGAAATCTCTTTTGGTGCCTGAACAGGAGGGAAGAAAGGGTCTTGAGAGTAAATGTGAATTGCTATTAGTTCAACAGGGGTCCAATAAGGGTAATTTCAGGCAGCAGTGTCCAAAGCAACACAAATCTTATGAAAATACAAAGCAAACAAACCAGGTTTTCCTCCTTGAATCCCCAATCAATGGTCAACAGAGCCAAGTCAGGAATAATCTTTCCCCCTTGACCTCCTGGTGGAAGGAGGTCCTTACAAAAAACGGAGATGCATACCTGGCAGTGGCAGATTGAGGACTGTTTAGTAACAGAAAAGATTGCATCAGTCAAAATTTACAACAAGGTCTGATGATTACAGCCCTTACTCACCCAGAATGCTGTGTGTTGTAGGTACCAATATGTTGTGCAATTGAGAACCTCTTCCAAACAGATTGATCCTTTGGCTGAGGTCAATCAAGGTGCAATGAAGTCTGACGAAGC